TAGATATGCCAGTCATGATATTCATTATGATCATTGGTTAATGTAAAACCTGCTGTTATGGTATTGTAGTAAACAAATTAAATAGCAAAAACCTCCTTATAATTAGCGATCTCCTTTAAGTCACTGAAGCAAATATCGTCCATGCGATTGCCCGGGATATGCCTTTTGTGTTGATAACAGTTCATTATGAACCAAAATGTGTTTGTTTATCACATCTGGGGGTGTTTATTTAATAAGAAATCTGAAAATTAATTCAGAATGTGGGAGATGAGAGCAAACAGATATTTGACTACAGTGTAAAGAATCCACACATTTTGCGTGAACTTCAGAATTTGGTTTATTATTCTAGTGAGTCCAGTATAATACAGAACAAGGTTCTAATTTGATTTTTTATTTTGCTAAAACATTTGCATATCAGTCGTATTTTAAGATTATTATTTTCTGAAAATTATCCTTAATATTTATGATTCATTTCCTTGGCTTGCACCTGCTCCCCAATTTTAACCATGTTTCCTAATCCTGCTGGGGTATTGAGGGGTAGAATGGGTGGGGCTATGGATTTCTCTTTGTTTGCCAATAGCAATTGCTTGCACTTTGCTTTCAACCAATGCCAAAGGTATTTGATGTGGAATAAATTAGGCAATTTGTATGACGTTCATCCATTGACTGTGTTCCTGTGAAGGTACATGCTGTTATCAGTCCAAGAACATTGGCACCATAAAGAGAGTATAAGTCATACACCTGACTGATTTTGTCTCCGTTAATAAAAATAATTGATTTGTTTTAAGGAGCAGACAAATTAAAAAGTGATGAATGCAGCTGATGTAAAAGTACTTGCAGTGGGAGGGTAAAAGTAATTTAGGAGATGATAGATGAGATGAGGAGAATTTGTTTTCCACAGTGATCTGGAATGCACTGCCTGAAAGGGTGTTGGAAGCAGATTCAATAATAACATTCAAAAGAGAATTGGATATATACTTGAAAAGAAAAAAATTGCCAGGCTATAGGGAACAAGCAGGGGAGAGGGACTCTTAGCTCTTGGATAGCTCTTTCAAAGAGCCAGCACAAGCACAATGGGCCAAATGGCCTTCTTCTGTGCTGTAGGATGCTATGTTTCTACGGTTGGTGATCTTGACCAATGAAAAATATAAAGTTGTACAGATTGGTCTGCATATTTTATTTATTCCTCAAATTCAGTGCGGGTTTGAAATAAGGTTATTTATTCTGATCTGGACATGAAACTATTTATTCAGGGCACCCTCCCAATAACTTTGCCAAGATGTGACAAAACACAGACAGTCCTGTATTTCCAGCAATAGTCAGTCAAACCCCACCTGGACCACATTAGAAGAGTTTTACCAGCTATCAGCATCCAAACAATCCATATGTTGGAATGTGGAACCCCATATTCTACCAACATTTGATATTCTGCCTGTGGTGTTACTCTTCCATTCCTGATTGCTAAGCGTTTGCTAATTTTGCGAACTATTATTTTCCTTTGTAAAGTATTTTTTAATCATAACCAATTCTCTACATTCCTGATTTAAATCTGTTATTTTTGATCACAGGCAGCAAAGTGGACTGTTGTAGATCAAAAAGGTTTGATATTAACAAGAGACTTGTGTTGACTAAAGTCTAGTCACTGTTCTCTCATACACTGACCTAACTAACATGTCCTTAGCAGTAAATTTAACCACCATCCAAACTATAGTATTTATACAAGTTTCTATTTTTAAGGTATATTTCATATATGTGTGTAAAAAAAGTGGGAAAATACTAAATCTTGCTGATGTATTATACCACAGGCACTGGCTAGCCACGCCAAGTAATCTTTATGTGTAAACACAGACAGTGAAAGTCAACCTGTAAATTCATGTGGGGAACATCAAGGCTAAGTCCAGTCCTATCTCATTAAAGTCTCTGCACACATATAATTTCCAGCAGGGTCACTGCATAGCAATAAGGAACCGGAACCACGACTGATTTATTTTGCAATGTATCGACAACGAGATAAAATAGTATATCAAATGCAATAAATTATTATCGTTTTGGTATCAGTACTCCTCTGGTGATCATTGATTGATCATTGCCTACCTCAGGACCTGAGTCAAGGCTGGCATTCCAGTGAAGTTCCGCATCATCAGATGTGCCGTCTTTCAGATGAGATGCTAAACCACGATCATGCTTGCCTATTCACGGACGTGAAAAAATCTTACAAAACTATTTTAAAGAGAAGGGAATTTCTCCCAGTATCCTAGCCAAGTTTAATGTATCCTACACTCCATGCATTTTGTGGGAGATTTGCTGGTGTAAAAGCTGCTGTGTTTTTTTTACTAAACAGTCACTTTAATTAATTACCTGGGAAGTGCTTTGAATGGTATTGTAATGATAAGGCAAATACATGAACTAATATATATCTTGTGGCAGAAACTGAATTCAGACAAACAGTTAAAATACCAAGAACACAGAACATCACATCTGGGCACATCAAGGTCATTAATGCATATTTGATAAATTATGGTCTATCATTTCAAAACAACTTAATTCCAAGAAATGTATTTTTGTTCTTATAAAATCAGGTTATCATTGATCTACATTTGACTGTATAATTATCTCCATTAGCTGCTTCTGTTTAGCTTTAGCAAAGCCTTTCTATCTGGTCCCGTGCTCCTGCCTGTGCTACGCTTTAGCCATTTCAGTATTCATGCCACAGTGCTCTTCACACAATAGGTGACAGTTACATCAGCCTCTATGACAAAGTAGATCCTCTGACAGTAGTTACAAATACGCCCTCTGCTATTGAATTGACCTTTCTGTTATTTGGTACGGATGACAGACGGCCTGAGCCTGGAACTGCTGGCACAGTGTTAAAACAGGAATTAGCAGTGCAGAGCGTTTGGGGAATGTGAAGGTTACACTCTATGTTGGAGTTTTCACCCAGTGGTAAACTATTTGAGCATGTTACACACACTTCACCGTGACCGAAGGAAGCTTCATCTTTTATTTATATACTGCAACAATGTACAGACATTTGTCAAATTGACAAAAAACAAAGTAACAATGTTTGCTTCCGCTTGGGTTCATGGTAATTGACTTCAGAACAACATCCATGTATGTAAGACTTAAAATTTTGTCCTGAATTATATTCATAAATTATTTTATTTGATTTTTCTGAGATTAAAAAAACACTGTTGTTAAGATTCGTTGCTGAGGTACATATAGTTAGAATGGTGCAGATCTGGGCTGAGTAAGTAATGTTGTTGATGTTAAATAGAAACTTAAATAATGCAGATCCATGTGAGGTAGTTGAATAGCACGGATTCTGCTAGCTATTTGAATAGGGCAGATCATACTGTTAATTATCCTAAGTAATTGAATTGTATATATCGTACAACATTGGACTTTGCTTTATTCAGGGAAGTATTTGGTTTTGAACATTTTAACTGTCCAATATAATTCTATTCTAGTGTATATTTCTTGCCAGTTTTGCTCCTTTCCTGAAAGCATTCTCTGTTTGTTGGTGTACGGATGCTGGTTGCACTCCTCCAACTCGATCAAGTGTGATCATTAATACTGCTGCCATGGCTGAGAATAGCTGACTTGACACAGATTGGGATTTGAATGTGTTGCCTTTTTTTTCTGTATGGCCTTTAACCACTACACCATCGGTGATAGAAACTATTTTGCAAATACATTCTTTAATTCTCTGTTCAGAAAGTATTTACATAGAACCATGTTAGTATGTTTAATACAAGCAGTTAATTGAAGCAGAATTAAAGTTAAACAATACCCAGTTAAATTGTTGCTTTTAAAAACTTGGATTGGAAGCTTTCCATGCTGTGTTATTTCTTAGTAACGATTTACTAAACTCAGATGTTTCAGTAATGAAGGTATAATTGGGATTAATGTATTCACTGGGAGTCAAACCACACATACATTTTACACTAATGAAGCATCTACTGAGAAACATGTCAGATCCAGCTAAATAAATTTTGAATATCTCAAATTAACTTGACATTTTGATATTTATAAAACAGTTGCAAATCTCATTAACAAGTCTGGCTTCCCAGAATAAGGTGTTTAATGTGCATAAATTTGCAATAAAATGTAAATATAGATAGCTACAACAGATTCCTTGATGGCCCAGTGAGTTAAAGGCACCTTGATGGTACAGCATAAAGCCATGTAGACATTAAAGTTACAGTCTACGGTTGATTTCTTATTTCAATTGCTATCAGCAACCTTGAGTTTATGGAGATGAAATATTAGCAAAGCTTTCTGCTCCTGACCCCTACCTGCTGTAAGGTGGATGAAGGAAAGTGATGGGATTGTTCTCGATTTTGCTTCTTCCATGAATGAATAGGCTGCCAGAGCTCATTGTCAAGTGAAAAATGACAGTTAATGGCCACTTGGTTGAGGTAAAAGGTAAAGGAGTCAAAACAGTTTTAGCACAGGAAAGGATGAATTTGTCAATGGAAAAAAGACAGATATCTTACAAACTTGTCCCTAGTGGTTGCTGGGAGCTCAGAAAGATTTCATTACACTAAACACATAAAATGTCCCACAATTTCCCACAGATATTGCTCAACGTCTGGGACATTGCTGTGCGCATTTGGCTGCCGTGGTTAGCTCACAAAATACACAGTCACTCCACTTTACAATATATTTTGTGAAGCGCTTTGAGATGTTTCAATGACATGATAAGTTGCTATATCAAACGCAAGTTTTTTAAAACTTTGAAATACATCACATGATTCTTCATAAAGCATTAAAATATGACAACTTCATAAATATCGCTGTGAAGCTCTGTGTTTAAATTGTTTTGAAATATTCGCTGGTTGCTTGATGTCCCTTTAACACTGCTCAAACAATCTGACTTTATCTTGCAATTGAGCTGAAACCTTATAGTTCACTTTCAGGTATCGGTTGTTTTAAACGTTCTATGCTCTATGTTCTATGTTCTATGAAACTCACGATAAAAAAAATCTTTATTTTTCTAGAGCGTCAACTCTGCATGACCATGGCTGGCTCTAGCACGCTGCCATCCGGCGTATCTGGGATCAGTAAGGAGCTAGCTGACCTGCGACACCTAATTCAATTCCCTGAAGAGATTGCTAGCATATTGACCGAGCAAGAGCAGGAACTCTACCGTAAGGTCTTACCACTCGACTACCTCTGCTTTCTGACCCGGGACTTGGCTGGTTTAGGCTGCCATAGCAAGCCACCCCCCCTCAAGACTTCTACATCCGCACCAGCTCTTAGCAGCAAGCACAGGGAGCACAATGCCGTTGAAGGTCTGGTGTCGAGATTCAACGAGGTAAGATGTTACTTGTCTTCTGATCTTCCACACTAGTTGGTCTTCAGGGAGAGAAAATTGGGCAGACAGTACCTTGAGCTACTCTTGTGCATCTCACACTTAGAGAAAACTTCCAACTTATTCATGCAGCACAGAAGGTGTGTGGCACGGTCACTTTCAGGGGGAAAAAAAGGAGCAATTCTTGCAGACAAACCCATGTGTATAACATTTTAAATGGGATTAAAAAAAAGTAAACACAGAACAATACATTAGCATGCACCAAGACAGTAAAATAAGAGGACATAGATTTAGAGCTGCAAAAGGTTAATTTCAGGACAGATACCAGGAGGGTTTTTTTACCCAGAAAGTAATTAACAACTGAAACAAGGTGGTTAAGGCCAGGACACTGGACTCATTTAAAAAGCAGCTTGATGCTGTGATAAGGGGAATGGTTGACTTGGTGTTCTGGAGGGATGAAATCAGGTAGGCTCAATAGCATTCTTCATCCAAACTAATCTTGTGATTTGAAATTATTTGGAAGCACATTTAATATTGTAATATGTCGGACCAAATATTTATAAACTGCTCCTACATTATTTTAATGACATTTATGATATATTCAAATTAATTTGAATGTATCAGTAATCTATAACTCTTCAAACAAGCATCTATTTTCTTTTTGAGAAGTCAGATGGTTAACAATGGTTTAGTTGCATTCTTGCTACAAAAATCCACTGTATTCTGTTGCTTAGTAATTAATGAATGAAGAGTTCTGCCATATTACATGCCAAAGAGATTTAGAGACTAGAGTGACAATGCTGTATTATACAAGTATGCATTTGGCATGTTTCAGTTACATATTACTATGTGAAACAAGGTGTACTTTCATACTTCATTTACTGCATTACTAAGCTAATCATGGTAAAGGCTACATATTCGTCCTTTGTTGGTTCAAAATGTACCAGTCATCCCAAAAATCCTGTCCATAATTTCTAATACCAATGTTTTCCAAGCCATGTTTTAAAATAAAGATAGCAAGAGATTTGTTTGATAAGTGGACCAATTTAGGAAAAAGAACACAAAAGGAAGACGGAATGGAATGAAATTAAATGAAAAGCATTTAGGGGGAACACAGAAAACAGTAAGAGACCATGGAGGAAAGCTAGAGTCAACAAACAAGAGTACATAATTGTTTCATTCTGTATTTTTCTTTCCTATTTATTGTGCTATATACACTTCAAATGAAGATTACGCTGTGTAATAAAAAGGACCAATCTTTGTTTCTCTGTTGAGAAATGCAGTGAAGGGGGTCAGGGGACCCAGGTGACTTGGTCGCCAAAAAACATTATTCATTAATGGAGTCTCTGCCCCTCCACCCCCGCCTCGCAGCTCTGTGTTGAGTGATTGATCCCAGCTGTCAAGCTTGCTATTAGCCTCATCAACCTTTTGTTGGGTTGAGGCTGAAATCAGCCAAAGTTCCCTGATCACTGTTCAAAGACCCTGTCCCCTACCGGATAGCGGAGGGTGGTGGGATCAGGCCAGGGCTCTGGAACCCCAATTCTTCCTTCCTCACCCCCTCCCCACCCAACCCCAAACGTAGTTAAATACTCACCTTTGAGACTCATACAGGAGCCGTGTAGTGGAGGGCAGACTGTGGCACTTGGAATCTAATTTTTTTTAAAAAATAATAATAATTTGGTTACTCAATCCATGGCTGTTTGTGGTGCACTGCTGTGTGCAATTAATTGACTGCAGCGTTTTGCCCACAAAATATACACTGACTACACTTTACAGTATACTCTGTGAAGTGCTTTGAGACATTTAGAAGATGTGAGAAGGCGCTGTATCAAATGCAAGGATTATTATTATTAATATATATTCATTTCTTCAGTTTTTTTATTCTCTTGATTATTATTCTTTCAGCTTCATTACTGTTTAGGTTCTTGGATTTGTATTCTGTCTTTCACTTTTTTTTGGTATTCCTTTATTTCTTTGTTTCACTCCATTTTCCCTTTTTTCCTTGGGGTCATCTCCTTTCCAATTCCAATTTCCAATACTCTGCTCAGACAGAAGGAGCAGGGATACAACCAATTTATGAAAAAGAACACAAGGAAAGACAGGGTGGATTTGTCTTTGACCTACTGGAAAATGTGATGAAGATAAAGAGTGTTTTGACTACTCCTATGGAAATACAGTTGACATCCTGAAAATGCTTCATATATCATCTGTGTTCTGTTAGCCAGAGTTGTTGTTCTACAGTTGATACTTCACTAATAACAGCCGAGTCCACAGCTTGAGCTTCTATTCACAAGATCACAAGATGAGTTCAGATCAAGAAGGTCTTTCGGCTCATTTCATCTCAAACTTCCAGAATACCCACCCTGCTGTCTTTCTATCACAGGATCAAGGTGTTTCAGTCATTAAGTACCCTTGGTGACAGTTCTGAATTTGCCTTTTGCAGTCATAAACCTATATCCTCTTGCAGCCATCAAAGGTAGCATTTTGGCCTGTTGATACCAAAGTTAAATCTGTAGTACATGAGAAAGTGGTAGATTTACTGCTGGATAATCTGCTAATTGTATAGTTTGTAATGTGGAAATGTATTTCCAATCATGAAGTTCATGAATATTGGCATCTTCCAATTCGTCCAATCCTGAAGATGCACTAGATGTTTTTTTCAAAGCTGAATGTAGTAAACCGCTTTGAATTACTGTAGTTAGTTGTGGCACTCCAATTTACTATACATACGAACTTGCTAGGCAAAAGAAGACTAAGGTTCATTTAGTTCGCCTTCCACCAGCCTGGCAGTCGCTTGACATGTCATGTCCAAACTGTACACTGCATCCCGAGATCCTAGCACTAGCTAGGAAGGGGGTAACAAAAGTAACAAGTTCTTACGTCTGATCCAGATGCGCAACATCTGTCAGAAGGTACACACTAAGAAGGTTGGGTGAGGCCAGGAGTGGGATTGGTTGTGAAGAACTCTATTGGTTTAATATACTGCTCTCACTCATTGTCCAGACATACACATAAAGAATAGACATTTGGACATCTACTGGGAGAATCTGATTTTCATGGAATTGTACCCCAGCAAAAGTAAGGAGAGGAGTGCAGAAAAAGATAAAAAAACTGTAGCATAATTATAGCAACTGAAAATGTATAAACTGTGAAGAATTTTTCTTTCAACTCCATTTCAAGTACAAATACTCATCTCTGCTCCTCAATTTTGTTTGAGCCTGGAGGATTGCGTCATGCTAGCATCCTAAACAAAACACACTTACTGTAAGGAGATCATTTTATAAATCTGCCCTGGTGGACTCCCCTTAATCAATATTACCATGACCCAAACTGAATGTAATCGCAGGCAGAGGGGAGTGTAAAGTGTAAATGAAATGAAGGTTAGCTTATTCCTGAAAACGAGGACCAAAGAACTTTTGACATGACCGATTCTGTATTCCATCTATTTAATTTATACTTGCTTGTGCCATAAAGTTCTGTCACAGAAAGTTGGCTAGTGTTTAACCTTTCCCTATGAGGATGATGATAATAATAATAATAATAATCCTATACATAGGTTATCAGGGTATTCTGCACACTTCAACTTCATAATGGTCCAGTAAAAAAAAGACTCTTCATTTGTCAGTTTCTCATTATCATAGATTGTAGGCCACAAAGCACAAGTTTAGCTAAGCTAAAGGCGGCCCGACTTAGAGTTTATATGTTATGTATTTCCAGCACACCAATGAGCTGCCAGACAGCACACTCTGTTCTTTAAAGAACATACACAGTTAACATCTGTTTAGTCTCCACTTTTATCCTAGATAATTACAGACTCAAAATCTATATACAGTACTCTTCACTTACTATCTTTCTTCCTTGTCCAATTTTCAGCTTTTGTTATGCTTTCCTGAATCCTAACTGTTAAAAAGTGCTCAGAGACAACAATGACAAAGATGGACACTTTCAAAATTGAGTCCATCAAGGGCCTACGGCATCTCTGCAATAATTGCAAACATTTTACTCAGTGCAGTGGTTTTAACACCATTTATTATTATTTACAGCTTCAACCTTTCCCATGTGCATGTATGTGATCTATGGTCCAAATCTATATCAATATTAATGCTTTATCTTGTGGCTTTTTATACAATTCACATGAACATTTACAGTTCTTAATGACTTCAATTCCCTGAGGGAGGCAGTAACCACAGGTACTATTTTCGAGAGACAAAACTGGAACATCTTCCTCTTACTGTGAAGACAGATGTGAAACAATTTAACATCACTGATGCTTTCTAATCTCCTGTGATATTCCTTCACAACATATGCCATAAAGCAGTTATCTTGTCATTTGAAATCCATCTACTTTGTACAGAGCTAAGAAAACATGAGCTCCATTTTGTTATTATTGACAATCTGGCTTTCTATTTTCTTCTACACCTCCTCGTTTGAGTCCTAAACAAATGTTGCTCAATATAAACAATCCTTAGTTTTAGGTTATTCTTTATTCAGTCACAAGTTTTTCCCTCCCCCGAATTTGCACTAACATGGAACCTATTACTAAAGTGAGCTTAACTCAAAATTAAACTTAATTCAGCACACTTGATTCATCATACTTAACGTCAAACTAAAGTTATGGTTTGAAAAAATTGGAACTTTTTTATTTTGTGTTTGCTAAAGTCATAACTTCAGTATTGTTCATATTTGTTGATGCTGTTATGTAGTGAAGATCTAAATAGTATTGTTTATTGTGTGCAGCACATTCATATTTTTTGGCGTTCAAAGAGACCACCATCATTGAAACATACAGTGAATTCATGCCTCGTTGCTTTTCTTTGTAGTCATTTGTCACTCTATTGCCTCTCTCACTTACCACCACAGTCTTTGTTATTTACCTTGTTAAACTTCCACTTAACAGCTTACCATCTGCCAATGTATCAGGGCAGCAAATAGATGTTGCTGTCTTTTCGTCCCTCCTGATCAGCACTGAACATGAACACATGTTTTGTTTTATGATTCACAAC